ACATGCCAAAGAGAAACCACAGACCTCGATTCAATCAGATCAAACATCTATGTATAGTATGTCGGCCACTGGTTACAGGACTTAAAGGATCTGCTGCTTGAACAGGACACTTTTAGATGTTGTGTGCCTCCAAAGGTCAAAGCTGTTGGAGTGTATCATTTTAATCTGTTAGAGGAATCCTGCTGACTGTGATTGATTCATAGATTTATATAGTGCCAGTTCTTAACAACAGTTATCTAAATATTGCTTTAGTAGGTTAAAGACACTTTTAGAAAGAAAACATCAAAGTTCAGTCAGTCCCCTATGACAAAGCACCTGGCAAGTGTGGGAAAGGAGAACGCCTTTTAAACAGGAAGGGGTCTTCAGCAAAACCAGGGTCCCATAGGGGAAGCCATTTACCTTGTTTGGTTGGAGGTTTGAGGGGACAAAAAATATGAGGAAAAAAGAATGGTGTGGGATTTACTGCTGTATCTGCTGAAGTTTAATAAAAAAAAAATATGTCTGATAAATTCTGGTAAACTTCTGAACAACTGGACCCTCCTGGGAGGAGAAGAAAAATTCAAATTTAAGGTATGTCTGCTACTTTTCAGGCCCGGAAGCTACATCGATATTTTATATACAGTCTGTGAGTAAATGTCATAATGTCATTCCACATTATTAATCCAAGTGCATATTTCATGCCTAAAATCAAAATGTTAGACGATGTCAAGTGACCCATGGTGATCAACTTGATACTTATAGAAAGGTACTTTACAAACATTAAGCCCATAAAAAGAAACTCCAAACCGTCTCAAACTCTTTTATCAATAATCATGATGAAACTTATCAGAACCAAACGTATTTTAATTTAAAATGAGAAGTTTTACTTATACTTTAAAAACATTTCGACATTTCATCTTATTTCTGTTCAAACATGAAGCCAAAAATCTTATTCGCCCCCTGGTGGCTGGTTGCAGTACAAGCCATTAACCACGCCCCCTCAATATTACAATATGAGATAAATTAAACTATAATAGAAGTACTTAAAGCTTAAACGTAGAGCTTCTGTCTTATTAAGCTCGTACATCATCGTAAATGTGTTTCTGATGAAGACGCTTTAATTTGTCCTCCTTTTTTGTCCTCTAGTAACCTCAGATGTGTCAGTTATGATCGGAGTCCCGTCTCTGCGTGTCAGTCAGACACGTCACACGAGAGTTAAAAGCGCCGCAGGTCACAGCTGCCGTGGAAGTATAAATTTAACAAGCCCGTCAGACTTATTTTACCCCTGTCTGTCTGTTTTGACTCGGCTGGCTTCCCGTTTGGAGGAGGAGGAGGGTGAAGAGAACGAGGAGGAGGAGGAGGAGTGTGTTACCCGGGGTGAGGTTCCGACCCCGGCTGAACCAGTGAGCGGGGGAAGGAACGGCAGGGAGATGCGGTGTGTTGAGGAGCGGAAACGTCTGAATGACCGGCAGAGATTTGCAGTCTCCTCTTCGAGCCAGAAGGTTTTTATCAGTTTGCAGCTGCTTGATTTGTAAGTAATATACATTTACGGCTTTTAAAGTAACCTTTACAGTCATTATTTTACCCTGTTAAGATACGTGTGCTATATTTTATTATTCTGTGTGGGGTAAACATGAAGAACTAAGTGACCCATTACACATTTATGGCCATTTGATGGCAGTAAATCAAAGTTTTCATGTATAATTTTGGACATAATCAAATAAGACACCTGGGATTTCTAAGCCTTTACGTTTGTAATTATTCATTTTGAAAGCGTTTCCCTTTAAATCTTGTGTTTAAAAATATTTTCCTGCTAACATTAATTTGACAATCGGTTTAAATTTTACAACATTACAAAATTTTCATCTCACCACGTGGATTCTTATTTTTTTCTCCTCTAGGTGGAGCCATTACAGCATATTTCACCGGGAGCTGCCAGCCCTGTAGCTCCTTGCAGTCAGGAGTGTGTGAACATGACGGGTCAGACTGTGGGAGGCGTCATCCAGGATCTGTCGGTGCCCTCTCTGCTGGGTGTGGGGTCCAGGCCTCAGGGGGAGACCGGCTCCTTCACCGAGGAGGCTGTTTCCATCCTGACCTCCACGAGTCAGCTGGCCCGAAGCCTCCTGGGTCACACGTTTGCCTTCAAACGCAAAGACAGCTTTAACAACGCTGAAGCCATGGCTGGCAACAGCTGTGACGAAGACAGCGGTAATAATGCACGTCGCAAACGGGAGTTCATCCCTAATGAGAAAAAAGATGATGGCTACTGGGACAAGAGGAAAAAAAACAACGAGGCAGCTAGACGCTCCAGAGAAAAGCGGAGAGTGAATGACATGGTGCTGGAGAGGCGGGTGATGGGTCTGCTGGAGGAGAACGCCCGCCTCAGGGCCGAGCTGTTGGCCCTCAAGTTTCGCTTTGGGCTTGTTAAGGACCCCTCTAATGTGTCCATCCTACCGTTGACTGCGCCCTTCTGTCCTCATCCCACCCCCAGATCAACAAATCACTACCAGGCTCACACTGATGGCTCCCCATATGTCGGCACACAGGCCAGTGCCAACACTCACCAGATCCTCTCTCAGGCTCCGCAGCAGGGCGCCATCTATGGTGCAAGAACAGCTGAGTTGAGTCATAGTGGATCGCAGGAGACTGGGGTTGTGACCTCATGTGGCTCAAACGTGGGGAGCCCTGTGTTTTTTGATGACACACTGGGTGAGAGTGGCAGGCCTTCTCCGAGGGATGTGACGGAGGAGCAGCAGTGCTGTGAGAGTCAGTATTTAAGCAGGCAAGACTCATCGGAGGGTTTGAGGAGTCTTCCACACAAGCTTCGTTTCAAAAGCCCTGGGGGAGGCAGCAACGGAGGGGAAATTTCTGCATCACCTGACAGCAGGAATGGTGGCCTGCCTATAGCCATGGTGGGACCAAACATCCAAATGAGAAACCACCAGCAAGTGGGGTGGGATGGCCAGGTGGAGAGCCAGGCTTCTTGGTCTAGAGAGGATGCCTGGGGCGTGCAGTATCAGGGTTCACCTTCAGGATATAATAACTCATCTTTTCAGCAGAATTCAAGCGACCACAGATATCCAGCAGAGGACAACAGCCTCAGGTCGCAGATCAGCAGTTTGTCCCAGGAAGTGGCTCAGCTCAAGAAGCTCCTGTCTCAACAGCTGCTTCCTAAGATGGCCTAAAACCAGATGAGGGGACGATCAGATCCACACCATATTTCCCCAAATAATCAAACTCATTTTCCCAGAGTGGGATGAGCATAAGCAGCTACCTCTGAAATAGCATGACATTTTTTAGTGGCCTGTTTGCTCCAGTGATGAACAATACAGCAGGAGCAGAATGAAAGAAAGTCATCACGTATACGCAACACTGTATGTACTGGACTGAAACGCAAGAATGAAGTGTCCATCATCTGCAAAAACCTCTTTCTCATCAGATTCAACCTCACCTTCAATCTCGTCGTATTTCGAGACACCGGGCAGTTATTTTGTGTGTAAAATTAAGCTGTTATTCACATGACGTTTTGGAGTGTACTGTGGTTTTTGTGCCATTCACTATCGTAACCTCGATGTTACTTTTCAAAACTGTGAGTGCACTCAACTGTGTGGAAATAAAATCCTGCTTTATGTAAACCACCGTGAGCATTTTTCCTGATAAGAAATTGCAATTTTTTTTACTACAATTTAAAATCACAAACAATCTGCATTTGGTTTTGCACTCACACACATCCCCATCTGTTTAATAGTCATCACAAATAAGTGTAAAATTCTTACATTAATCCTAACCTAAAAATTGGCTTTTAATACTAAAACCAAGGCTTAACCCTCAACACACCTTAAAGGGGTTTTTAAGGGTTTATTTGAAGGTATTTAATCGTTTAATTGTCTTTAATTGATATTTAATTGTCTTTATCTTTGGCTACCTTAGACAGTCAACTTAAATGTTGTTTGGACAACCCATCGGCCTGCATATGCACAATCACAAACACTGAAAACTCCAAATAAATTTAGACTGATCATAGTTTAACAGTGAATGACTGTGTTGCATTTTTCTGAATGACAGATATTTTTAAGAAAGGG